TGGAATTCTTCAGGGGTAAAGAGTTTTGAGCTTGGAATTTTGGAATTCTTCAGGGGTAAAAGGTTTTGAGCTTGGAATTCTTCAGGGGTATAACCATAAAAAACATGTATCCTCGACAGGGGGTGTACGGATATTTAATGGAATAGCCCAATATGAATATAGTGGCAACTTAATGAAATCTTCAGGTTTCGGAAACTCTCTTCAAGTTCCAACAAATCTTGCTCTTTCTCCTCAATTGTTACTCGCAGCTTTTGTTCGTCCGTTTCAACTTTATCAAAATATTTCTGTGTCGGTGATATGTATTGTTAACACTATATTGGGGTATTCAAACCCAACGGGTTCGTCTTCGACAACACTGGTTTGGTTATCATCGCACAAATTGATTAAAGCAGGTCTATAATTGTCCTCATGATTGTCATTTAAATTACGTTTACTTCTAAATCGTTTTTGTGAAGTGTTTTGCTTACTATTAGGAGACGGCGAGTAAAATCTCTTTGACTTTGAGCTGATTTCACTGCTCTGAGATGAAGTAGCCTGCGTGCGTATTTCACTAATAATTCCGATTATATCTTCCTCGCGTAAGAAAAATTTAAAATAATTCTTATGATGACCATATGAGTCATATTGACCTTAAATTCGTACCTTTTTCCTTTCATAGACATCATTTTCAGTATAAACAAATACACGCTCGAATACACGGAGAAAAACACAGCAAAGTTTTGAGACAAAACGCGTATGCCTTTGTGGGCGGGTCGCTAACGCTTTGTGGGCGTGGCGGGCGTGCGAAATTTTAGTGGCTCGCACACTTCGGTGACATCCGTAGTATCTTTGTTTGAGTAATGGACCATTTGCATTATAGACTAAATTTTGATCTAAACAAGTCTAGACACAAATTTCATCACAGCTTGAAAGAGCATCACAAAATTAGTAATATTCCAAAGTTTCGTTGCGAAACGTTGTAAAATGCGGATAATATAGCCTTGCGAAGTTTGCCGTTTTTCAGTCATTTTGTATTACAAACGGGAAATTGACAGCCCCAAAGGGTATTACCTATTGGGCTGTCAATTTCCCCCGCGTAATGCATAATGACTGAAAAACGGCAAACTTCGCAAGGCTATATTATCCGCATTTTACAACATTTCACAACGACTTCGGAATATTACTAATTTTGTGATGCTCTTTCAAGCTGTGATGAAATTTTGTCTAGACTTGTTTAGATCAAAATTTAGTCTATAATGCAAATGGTCCATTGTATAAATGATGAGATGTTGGAAATACTGTAGTTAATAGTGTTCCAGAGTTTGACAATCTGGTTATAAAAGGATGACTGGAAAGTGTTTGTCTTGCAACGTGAAGCTTTCATAACTACACGCGTAAAAATCATCATGTTGATGCAAGTTGTTCAAAACAGGAGCGAACAATGTTGTGCTGCACCCCGTGAACAATATTGTTAACAAGTTGTTGAACCATCAACATTGTTGCAACTTGTTGACAATCATG